GAATGATTCACTCCGGAGGGGGCGGGAGGGGGTTGGGGGGGGGAGGTAAAGCTCCAGCGGTCCGGTCCGTACAGCTCGTTAAGTCGCCTTTCCCCCCCTCACCCCCCCAATTTCTTCCTCCTCCTTAAACCCCCAAGTCAGAAAGATCATCAAACGCCGAGATGAGCGGAGTTGTTTGGATTTATTGCAACAATCACTTACCATCCACATTTCCTGTGGGGAAGGATAAGCATTCAATACAACTCTTTAAGTAGACAGTTCCTAATGATTTCATTGTGGTCAACCAGATGGTTTTTATGTATTTAGATCTGAAGGTGAAGAATTATTTTCCATGCTTCCAACCTATTTACAGACTTCCCTGGTCTAGGGCTGGGGCTTGCTGGTTAAAAGCAAGAAAATCCTGCGATTTCTCGATCGCATCGCTGGATGATCCAGAAAGTTTTCTAAAGGGACCTAAAGCGAAAACAGGGATAATTCCTTTCACCTCTTCTGGCTTCCCAAGCTACTCGATTCGCACGTGGAGTAATTTTAGCTCATTCGTTGAATAACGCTGACAATTTAAACCGCCTCTCTACCTTTGTTTTATCTGCAGTAATAAAGAGGGCACAGCACCGCATGGGAGACCCAGGCGCTCGGTTCCTACCTGAAAGCAGCCGGGGGGCAAGGGCGGCAATCTTTTTTAGGGATGAAGGACCCGAAGGAGGGGCGAGGATGTTGGACAAACTTCAGCCTCGTCCAAAATTAAGCTAAGTGGCGACTTAACAACGTGCGGTTAAAAAAAAAAAACAAAACCAACAACAAAAACAAAACCAAAAAACCAAACCCGAACCAATTCGGTCTTCGAGCGGGGATCGCGCATTTTTGGTAGGGCTTAAAACTAAAGTTCACACGGGGACTGCGCGGTTGCAAAAATGAAAGCTTCGGAGTAAATAAAATTACTGGCTGTTCAGTGTTTCTTGAGCGCACAGAAACCTTGGCGAGTTTGGGGGGTTATTTATTATTTTTTTTTGCAGATACTTTTATTGCAAAATAAAAACCTTAGTTTACATATTTGGAAAAAAAAATAAAAAAAAAAAAACCAAAACAAACCCAAACCAAAACACCAAACCCTGGGTGGGTGGGTGCGTGGATCTGCTTATTTCCTTTGAAAAAAAAAGTTTTTGTTTGGCAGCCGCTGGGAAATGAAATTGTCGCTGCCCGGAGCCACCGCGCAGAGAGCGAGGTGCTGGGCGCCGCGCAGGGAAGCGAGGAAATAACTCCCCGGGTTTGCCCCACCACAAAAATAAGGAAGGGGAAAATAAAAAAAAATAATAATAATTTTTTTTAAAAAAAAAAATCAGTATTTCCACCATGTGGAGCAGCTGGTGGAAAAAACCCAGAGGTTCAAACACAGTCTGTGACTGCCACCTTGTGACAGAAGAAAAGAGGGTGACAGACTCCAGGCAAGGAACAAACAAGGGTTTTGGTGGAGCTGGAGAAGTCAGGATTTCCATAACCTCCAGTTTTCTTTACTGCCATTTCCAAATTAAACAGGCGAAATGCAGGTGGGGGTAAGAGAGCAATAGCCTTGACTCACTGACTCAGATGCAAACGGCAAAGTTTGCGTGTGGCCGGGCGGCCCCGGTGGCCGGTACTCACGGTGCGGTTGCCGGCGGAGCTGGGCGGCGTGCGGGGAAGGAGGGAGTCCCGGGCGTGCTGGCCCCGCTGCTCGCCCGCGGCTCGCATGTAGCAGAGCGGGAGGCGGCGGGGGTGCGAGGGAAGGAGCAGTGCTGCCTCTCAGTGCCGGCTCTCATCAGTGAATGAGCCTCCACTCTCCGAGGGACTCCTGCCTGCACACACACACACGCACACACACACACACACACACTCGCACACGGAGCCGGGCTGAGCACTGCATACATTAGGGCACTCGGGCAGTATGGGAAATGCAGTCCAGGACCGGGCTCCTATCGCCGGCCACAGCCCCCGGAGTTGCCCAAAAGGAGGGTCTGGGGGCTGCTTCCCTCCCAAGGGCGCTGCTTTCCCCCCTCCTAGTTCCTCCGCACCGGCGGTGCCCACCCGCCGTTAGCTCCTGGCACCCGTCGTGTTTTCCAGCGGGCAGCCCCCTCCCAAATTGTAGCGGGACGCTGCAGGGTCCCCCGGGGTGGCAGCGTCCCTTCCCGGGGCAGCCCCCTACCCCTCCAGCCCTGGGGCAGCCGGTTACCCCTGGGGATGCTCAGGGACACGCAGCCTTCCCCCCACGCACCCTCCTGCGTCCCCTGGCACTCAGGGGTGCCCAGGGATGGGCAGATCTAACGACATCCCCAAATTCGCCTCAGAGAGCCGCAGCAGAGCCAGAAGAGCAAATTGGGGACTTCACACTCCCAGCGTTTTCTCCAACGGCAGCAGCAGGCACAGCGTGCATGTCACTGTTTTAATGTTTCCTGGATGCAGGTGGCAGCTCTGGAGGAACCCTCCCGCACACCACTCTCCTGCCAGCCCCAGGGCTGTCCCCAGCACAAAAAAACCACCCGTCATAGGAAATGGAAGAGCCAGTTTTAGATGGGGGCTCCGATGAAACGCTTGTCTCATTGTTTCTCGCCAAGTACACCGGGGACAGACCCGAGAGACTGAGTTATTCCACCCGGGTGGGAACTGTTTGGTTATTTATTTTTTTTTCATCAACTGCTACATAATTTCAAGTTGTTCTTAGAAATAGATGAGGGGCAGAAATTTTTGGGTCTTACCTAACTCTGCACTGGCGTTCTCACAACATAACCGTGCTACACGCCATACACTGAAAAGAGGAACCCTCTCCGTGAGCATCATCAACCACTTGGGCTGTACCCTCTGTGTGTGAGAGAGAGAGAGTAAGAGGGATTATGTGCTTATGTCATCCAACAACTTTTGTGTCAGCAGCGACTCATCACTCCAGAAGACGGGTTGGTTTTGCCTCTTACTCCATGGGATCACTGAATGCCCATGTAAAAGAGTCCACAGGCACAGCCAGAAACGTGTCCCCAGGCCCTAACTGGGGGCGTTGCGCAGACCATAATGGTTTCCTTCACTGGGCTGAAGCTCTCCCATCCTTTCCCCACCACAGAGACAGGTCTTTGGCAGTCAGAGTGTTTGCATGCCTCCTGAGTGGTAAAATCTTTGGAAATTACAGTAAATTGTAGCCCTCCCCGCAAAAGGGCTTCTTATTTTCACACTTAAATTTCAAAATAAAACGACGTGGCATTTCAGGCTCCTCAGCTCAGGAAAGCACCCGGGTGAAGGAGCTTCATGTACGTTTTTTTTCCCAAAACCATCGGTCGCTCTGCTCCCTGCTCTGACCTGCAGCTGGGCCATACGCAGGCTGAGGATATTCAACACAAAAAGAAAATGCTTCCCCTTCCAGGCATCTGCTCCGCCGCTGCTTCCCCGCACACCGTGTGCCGGAGGGAGGAGGCTGGCAGGGCAGGCAGCAAGGGATGCCCTCTCCCATGGATCAACCATGGCATGGTGCTAAAGGTGGGCTCAGATTCCTGAGCTCCTCAAAACTGACATTTAGATATTCCAGGTGAAAAATAAACACAACCCCGTATTACTGTGCATATACGCTGTGCACGATTAATATCCTGTAGTTACCCCTTGATTAACCAAAGTTAGGATTTTTGGGGGTTGGTGCCTCCAAAGTAGCTGCCCCACGGACATGCACCACCCCACGAGTCCCACTGATTTGTATGGGGACACCGCACTAATTGGCACCCCAGCCGTTCCCGAGGCACCCCTCCTGCAGCACACCCCACACCAACGGGACCAACCAGTTGAGGATTTGGGTAAATATTCCACAGGGTAGTAGGGATGAGGCACATTTTAAATAACATCAGAGTTTTGACACACTTCAGGAAGCCACATTAAAAACCAACCCTTATCTCCCAGGGATCTTGGGGAAAACAGCCACAGCCCAGCTCGTGCTACAGCTTCACAGTCACAAACACAGATTTCTGCTTTAAAAAGCGCTCTTATTATAAAGCTGTATTTTCAGTACTTACAGCATCATGAAAAACGATCCCTCAGATTTAAATTTTTTTTCTTTTGTTCTTAGCCAAAACCCTATTTATTTATTTATTTATTTGTTACTTTTTCGGTTCCTTAGTATGGAAAAAGGGATCTGGATCCTGCGCCAGTGTCCAATTTATGCTACTTGAGAATCAAGCTCCGTGCTTTGAGACCTGAAAAAAAATTATGCGGCTTTATTTAACTTTATGTTACTGCACCGTTACACAAGAACTTAATACAGTTTGGATTCAGGGAGCAAGTCTGGCATTTAGCGAGCTTCTGTGAGCAATGTCTTCGGAGGAAAATGAGAAGATACACTCAAGTTATTTATATTTGTAATTACCATTAATCCGTATTACTAATGAGGGTTTTGATCCTGAAAATGGATCCATAAACATGGACTCCTGCACCACTATGGAGCGGTGATATGCACAGAGGCCCATAGGAAAAATTTCCACTGAAATACGTTCTACACTGATAATTTGGACCCTAAAATAACTTTGAACATCTGACTTAACTTCGTGTGTGTTGCTATTGCTCATCTCTAAGACTAATAGGGGACACCTCAATTTCTTTCTTTTATTTTTTTTTGCACTTAATAGTAAAACAAAATTTGAGATTGTTGTGGGCTATCACAGTGCTGTGCCTTCTCACTGCAAATGCTGTTCTTAATACTGAAGTCTAAATTAAATTAATATATACGATCCTGAACCTACAGAGTTGATTAGATGCACTTAGATGCATACAGATTTCAGTAAGATTATCAATAATACATTAAGTCAAGGGTATGTGTAAATATACATAAATATATGTATATAGAGAGTGTATGTGTGTATAATATATGGAAAAATGCATTTATATATAAATATGTAAAAATACAGAAAATATATACATAAGTAAAAATACATGAAGTCAAGTTTACATGTAAATTCCACCAAAAATAGTGCCTCTGACTGTAAACGTGCTGGATTCTTAAAATACCAACATACAATTCTTAAAACCAGAGAGCCCTCACTTGTCACGTCCTCTAGCTGCTCTTTTATAAAACAAGACTGAGGAATATGATAAATGATAGCGGCGAGTACAGGGCAAGGCTGCACGGCCGGGGCACGGGCAGAGTGTGGGGATCCCGTGATGGCGCGATGCCTTTGTTGGGAACTCCACCACCCTGTGGGTCCCCTGAAAAGTGACACCCCAAGAAAGTGCCAAAATTCTGCAGGTATGGGACCATCTCCTGAAGTCACTGGGGCTGTCACCTCTGCTAGACCCAGGCCATCCTTTGCGTCCTTTCATCTGCAGTATGGGTGGAGGAGGGAGAAATGGCAAATGAATGACTGAATGAATTAATAGATTAAACCCAAATTTTTTGTTGCCACTAGGCTTCAACCGGGCTGTCTCTTCCAGCGAGGTGTGGGTGACCGGCTGGCGTGTGTAATCTCCATGCCCTCTGCTGGCTACAGCCAGCGTGTCTCAGCAGCGTGCCACCACCACCCTGCCCTCGCAGCTGGGAGAAGGACCACTCCTCCCTTCCTGGGAGAAGACGCTGGGAAGTGCTGCCAGTGGTAGTCGTCCCTGCTGTCCAAACGGTTTTGTCCCCTGGTTTTATCAGAGCCGTGGCCCTGGTTTAAGCATCGACAAACTGGTGGCTACACTCCAGGAGGACAGGTGCTTGAAACCTCTGCAATCAGCCATGTCTCACTCCCTGCTGCTGTTAGCAAGGACATCTGAGAAGAAGATTGACCTATGAATTTGGAAGAATTAATCTGGTTTTAGCATCTGATCTGGGCTTTACTCTAGTGATTGGGGTAGGGATTGTCCCATAGCTCAGGAGAGCTAATAGGGGATCTCTTCGTCCTCTGAGCCATCTGTAGCCACTCTCTGCCAGTCCCTTCTCTCTTGCAGAGGAAGAGTCTGGCAGAGGCAGGGTTGAAATCATCCTATCTGCCAGAACTTTGAAATTTAGAGCTGGCATCCTCTCAGTGACTAGTCCTCCCAGAATGAGAAAACAGCCCTTTAAATGACTTGTTGACTCATAGGACTGGCAGCGAGAAAATTCCCTTCAGCCTAGAAAAATTTTCTATGGTCAACAGATACGTGTGTCCCTTTTTTATCATCACCATCACCTAGACCTTTTCCAAAATCTACTGAGTAACACCGGAGAGGAAGGGGAACCTCCTGTTTCTGCTTCTCAGGTTGTGCTGTAAGACGCCACTTTACTTTTAAACCTTCCTCATCACCAAATCCCAACAGCAAGGGTGGAGACCATGCCCAGGATTTTGCAAATGAGCACTAAGTGTTCTTTATAAACCATCATCCTGCGTCCTGTTTCCTATATTTCTCCTTCAAAAATGAGGTTGCAGGCTGGGTGGCAGACACCAGCCAAGAAGTAACTGTACCAGACGTCTCAGGAAGACTGCTCACAGGTGAACATCAACCATATTGTCATTTCCAAAGCTGAGGGCCCACAGTCTCCACAACTTCAGTACCCAAAGTTGTGTGATTTAAGCACATGCAGTGTGAAACATCCTTTCTTATGGATTGTATTTCATGTTTGCTGTTAGCAGCACTGGACACTTGTTTTCTGTACAAGCATCCACTCTTTTCTAGGGCTTTTTTGAAGCCCTCTCTGAGCAATATCCTGTTGCTATGAGTTCCACAGGCTAATGGTGTGGAAAAATATTTCCCCGTGACAAGAGCTACACCTGTCCAACCCCCCTTCTGTGCACCATCCATCACGCTGACAGCGTA